GAGAACGAGTCAATGAAAACGAGAGAGACAGCTGTGTGCCCCCTAATGATTCCTAACAAACTGTTAAAAATGTGGACTCATAACCAGAAGCCTGCCAGTTCTAGTCCTGGCTGTAAAAATACTTTGAGTAAAATCATTGGCTAAGGCAGCGTTTCCCAACCCGGTCCCCAGGGACGCAGTCGGTTCACATTTTTGCTCCCTCCCAGCTCCCCTTGGACCGTCTGTGGGTTCCCGAGGACTGGACTGGGAAATACTGGGCTGAGAAGTGGCCCCATTAAACCTTTGGATGGGGTCACATGATGACACCATGGGAACGGACCAGGATGAAGTTGTAGAGGACGCGTGTGATGTCGTTGGTGTACAGGCAGTGTGAGTAGTCCCCCTCATCCCAGCGGCCCGAGCGGTCGCAGTAACGCGAGGCCTTCTTCTGCTCTAGGTCGCCACTCATGCTCACAGACGGGTAGGGGAGCTGGAGGCAGAACTGATAGGAGGTGATCCCTGCCAGGGTCCGAGGCCACCTGAGTGGGGGGCGGGGGTGGGGAGAAAGGGCAAATGCTGGACACTCGTTCATAGGAGTTTGTTCCATTTCCCCCCCTGCCACGAGTCCTCCCATACCTGAACTCTCCTCGGTTGTTCGTCACTCTCTCTTCCGAACAGAAGGAGGCGCTGTTCTCCAGGACCACAATCTCCACACTGCGCGAGTCATTGCCGCGGTCCGTGGATACCATGCACTTCCACTCCCCACTGGCCTCCACGTGCACGTTGGAAAGGATCAGCTCACTGTGGCAGGAAAGTGCCACGTTAGCTATTAGCTCCGCTACTGGATCGACCAGGAGGAGGAGACGGGGAGGCGGATGGAGGCTGGCAAGGGGTCTGGTACCTGGTGATGGAGGTGCAGTCGTGCAGCATGCTGTCTTCAAGGTGGACACCCTTCTCGGGGTCAGCGGTCACGGCCTGGCCGTTGTGTTGCCAGTGCAGTGTGGTTGCATTGTCCACTAGGGCGGCGGTACAGTGGAAGGGAAGCCGGTCCCCCTTGAACACCACTTGGCGTAAGGAAGGCAGGAGGGAGAGGGTGTGCAGCTCCAGGGGCCCGTCTGAGAGACATGCGGGGAGTGAAGTCTACGGTTAACAGTGGCAGACAGCCAGGAGGCCAATGAAGACAATTCCCCCGCTTGCTGCCGTTGCCCTGTCATTCCCCAGCCCCCTCTTTTCTGATGGACCGTACTGAATCAGCCCTCATTTTCTGGTTAGAGAATCGGTTGCAGACAGTATCAATTCGCAAACAACGCAGCAGACCGCTGCGGACAACGGCGGAGTCAAAAATAGGCCCCCACTGCGATCCATCGCAAATTGGCCAGTGGAATGAGAAAATGTGCGAAGAACACAGGGCCTCCTCTGCAGCACAGATCAGCAGCAGCTTTTGTGCACATTAGAGCATTTTGTTTACTCCGGTGCGGAGGCTTTGAGGGAAGCCTGATGCCAGGTCCAAACAGGGGAGGGCACAGATTTTCACAGATGGACATTCGCTCTTTACCATTCCCTATATAAATGACAGACTGATTGCAAACATATCTTGAAATGTAGCCATTTATCACAATATTTGCAGCGTTTATTTTAAAATTACATTTGAAGTGCTACTTTTTATTTGAAGTTTGAATTACAAATGTGAAGCAACGTGTTAATGCAGTCACAGTCAGAGTGACAACTGGAAGTCCTGCACTCCTTATAGGGAAAATATGACTGTGAATGTTTTTCGGAAGAAAATTTTGTGAACATTGAATAACGGCATCCCATATGGTGGTGCAGTGGTTCGCACTGTCGCCTCACACCTCTGGGACCATGGCAGAGATGCCCTGCTCCATGTGTGTGGAGTTTGGATGTCCTGTCATGCAAACTGTGTCATCATGCAGTTTCCTCCAGGTACTCTGGTTTCCCCCCACGATCTAAAAACATGCTGAGGTTAATTGGTGTTACCAAATTGCCCGTAGGCGTGTGTGTGAATGGTGTGTTAGTGTGCCCTGCGATGGGTTGGCGCCCCACCCTGCCTTGTGCCCGTAGCCTCTGGGATAGGCTGTGGAACCCCCATCGACCTGGATACAGAATCTGGATGAGTAGGTATCCCATCCACGGTGTCCCCTGCCTTGTATTTCCTGGGATAAGCTACAGGCTCAGTGCTATGCTGTTCTGGAGTATCAGGTACAAAAGATGGAAACTGAGGCTCATGGACGCAGCTGAAGTAGAAAGCATTTACACCTGCTTATGATGTTACCATCCTTTTTCACATCAAACATCGCTCACCGCAGGTCAGCTGATTCTCTCTCAGGCCGCGTAACGGCTTCCCGTAGAGGCTTCTGGGATACGAGCAGACGGTGTCTTCTCCCAGACGAGCGGAGCTGGAGCGGAGGTAGACAGGAACCCAGCGCATGGTGCAGTCGCAGGACAGGAACTCGGAGTTGAAGTTCCTGAAGGAGCGGAGCGCATCGCCAGAGTGATTTATCCCTCCGGGACGTGTTTCTGACAGCATGTGCTGTGCACTTCTGCTGAGACTCAATGGGTTATGCCAGCTGAACAATTCAAATAAACAGCAGTAGTGCAGGAGACTTTGGGCGGCCAAATCCGAAAGACAGGCAGGCTATAACTGCATTTCTCCTGGATGAACAGGACCAGTAACTCACACCAGCTTCAGGGAGGGCAGCTCCTGGAAAATCCCTGGCTCTATTGACGAGAAGATGTTTCCAGAGAGGTTCCTGTGGAGCACAAAGAGGGGACACCTCAGTCTTCTAGCGAAGGCGGGTATCATGGGCAACGAATACGAAAGTGTACATGTGCCACATGCGCCCTTACAGCTTGGTGAGGTTTGTCAGGCCCTGGAAGGTGCTTGGAGTCAAGCAGCCAATCCGGTTGTCAGAAAGGTCCCTGAGAAGAACCAGGAGACAGACGCACCAACATGAACAACCTGGAACCCTCTCCATGATCACCTTTCATCGTTTCAATTTTCATGCATCCTTCTCAATACTCCATTCTTTGTTTTGCCCCCAGTGTACAGTTTATCTGTATGATTATTTTATCTCGCAGCTAGCATAACAGAATACCATGTGCTATTGTCCCTTAAGTGATTGTTACAATGGCTGGTATTTCTGATATCCTCTTTCCTGGTATGTGACCTGGCAGGATGCTTTAAATAGTTCGAAGCTCAGTCCCTCCCTTCATTGTCCCCTCCGCTTCCCCAGAAAGCCGGGAGCTTCCAGAAGCGCACGGCCTTTCATTTAACCCTGTCTGAGAAGCTCTGGGAGGCGCAGGCACATGGGGCGTCCTGCCTGGGCTGCCGGCGCAGCGCAGCCCTCTGGCTTCATTCACTCGAGTCTATTTCTGCCTTGCATTGTGTGGCTCTGGCAGCCCCGTCTTCCCCTCCGGGCTCGTGCACAAACAGCGCCGAGCGCATTGTTCTGCCGGCACCTGTCCCGCCACTGTGTGCCATGCAACGCAGAGAGGGACACCTGCTGTGTCCCGTCAGCTTCCGAAATGTCAGACCGAGACAGAGAGGTCCTACTCACAGTTTCCGGAGGCTGGTCAGACTCCGAAAGGCACCGGGGGTGATGGTGCTGATCAGGTTGTTCTTCAGGTCCCTGCAGGAAGATTGGGGTGGGGGGGGTGGGGAGAGAGAGAACATGAGCATGAGAACCTCAACAGAAATACCCAGGAACAGCCAACACAGGCGAGAGTTCTAACTTACTCTGCTTTAGAGACATTTCATGCGGTTAGGAGCTGGGTGCTACAGCTGGATATTTCTGGAGTTTAATAACTGCATTTTTACATGGCTTGCGGCGGCGGTTTATAGAGGACGAGGAATTACATGTCTCCAAACACCCAGCCCCGGGTGTGGAAAACGTCACATTTCTGCACGTGAGCACCGGACGGGGGTAAAGCTTTGAGCCACCTGGTTAGGGGGTTAGCAAGCATGCAAACACAAGGTCAAGGGGAAACGCCAGAGGAATCAAAGACCACCAGAGGGAAGCTGCTTTACAACTCTGTCTTAAAGTCACTCTTCCCATGATAAAGATACACTAGCACATGCCAAGCCATAAATATTAATTTCTCAAACTGCCTTTGAAGATCTTATTCGATATTGCCTCCCCCCTCACCAATTTCTACTCCACCCTCTTCCCTTTGCTTACCCACACCCATGTGTTAAACTACTCAGCGGCATCCCTGAACCTCCTCGCTCCACCCTCCCCCCCCCCCAGCCTGAAAATTAACCTCTGGTACTCCAGGAAAGCTTTTATTGGTCAGATGGGAATAGCAGGGCCGGGAGAGGTCATTACACAAACGGTCACAGCCTTGGGAGCTGCCACATGCTTTTCTCGCCAAGAGCTATGGTACAAAGTAGGAACTCTGGGCAAAAAAACAGGCATTTCACTTGTCCACCCTGTCCACCACTTCCCTACTGCCAGACCTCAGCCATGCTGGCCACTAGCTACCAGAAGTAGCCTGCTGAGGCAATGGCACTGTTTTCCCTGGGAAACTTACACTACACCCTATCAGAGTCTGTACTCTGAATCTGCCTTCCTAACCCCAGTCGCTTTTCCACCATGACTCACGGTACAACAAGTCTCCCCTTACACCCAGAACTGCAAAATCGCACTCCTCACTCAAGAAAGAACTCAACACGCCGCTTCAAACTTCAACACTGCTTCAAACATAAACACTGGCGGCCTCTGGCTTCAGCTGCTTCAACATGGACCTTGTGTGTTTTCGTAGACGTTCTGTATATATGGTGAATGTACTAAGTAGCGCCATACACTGTAAAGGCGATACATTCTGTGAAGTACGTCGACCCGGACAGCTGTTTACGTTGAATATCTGTTACGCTACAGGCAGCCTGCTAGCATGCGGTGACCTAGAAGTCACTTTAGATCAAAGCATATGCTAAAAGAATTAGCGCTTGAGCTAGTGACCTCCTGAAGCGTTACTAATACCGCTGATCCCAATGGTGCACATGTCGCAAACCACACCATGTCACGCCAGCAAGAGCAAGAAGCCTCAGCCCCAGACGAATCCCCATCCTCAAAGCTACGGAGCCAGAACTCACCCTCTAAGGGTTATTTTTAAAAAAGTTCTGATGGAATATATATTTGAAAATAGACTAAATATCAGAGTGCGGTATCCGCAGTGAGTATGTGTTTTCTCGAACATTGGCTAACTGCTCACTGGGGGCTATAATCACGGCTATTACTCAAATCAGAGCTGGCTACTGAGGAATGGAGAGCGTGTGCTGTTCCATATGAGGGTGGGATCGTTTAGGGGGGATCTGCTCGGCACTGAACCACCTCATTTTTGGAGTCGAAAAACCGCACGCTTCCATGTTTCTGATATAGCTTAGCACATGTCTTAGCGAGTATTAGCATAGGCAAGCTACTCACCGAGAAAAGGGACGGGGATTTCTGCATGAGCTCGTTATCTACACGTGCTTGTGCTTTTATCTACATTTATGAATAAATCTTCAAACGTGATGACGAGCAGGTGGATGTGGGTGTCCATGGGTGTAGGAGTATTGATTTGTGTCCGTGTTAAAGTTTTATGTGCGTCTCTCACCATGTGCTATCTGGAAGGCTTCTGTTGTTCTATATCTGTTCTTAGCTGCTTAATAGCTGCAGCCTAGGTGTTGACTGGGCCAAGGAGAACAATGGGCAACTTTTCTTCATTGGTATCCTGGGACCCATTAGTGCCGTGATTAAAGGTGCCCCCTCCCCCGCTCCCCAGCCGTGATTTCCTCCTCCTGATGCTACCGCTGCACAGGTGCAGGGCCGGCAGGGGACAGGCACTGACTGGGGGAAGCCGCTATGTGGCTAGCCAGTGGCCAGTAGCCAGTGGCCAGTAGCCAGTGGCCCAGTTGAGTAATATGGGCGACTTGTCAGATGTTACTGTCGCTAAGCTTAGCAGGAGCATCGCTGGCCAGACTCTGGAGCTTCCTGCTCTCCGAGAGACGGCCTTGCCGGCCGAGGCCTCATGCGATTCGGCCTTGCGATTATCAACAGGTCTGAAATACAGCCTTATCACTGGGCCGGAGAATGAGGTGGGGGAGGCAATATGGCATCGGACACTGTTTATCTAAAGCCTCTGTCTCTCTGGAAGGACATGAGGGAAAAGGCGAATAATGATGATGGCCATCATAACTGCTTACAGAGCCAAAGCAGGCTCAAAAAAACGGACATTCAGATCAGGGAGCGAGATCACGCCTGCTTCCCCTATTATACTGGAGCCTCTAAATGAAAAGAGCATGCTTTTACAAAATGACATCATTGTTTGAAAGAAAATGAGCAATGCTAACCCCCCTTAACTGACCGGCATATCTTTACATTAAACCATATCTAGCTGATGCATTTATCCTATGCGACATACAATTATTATTATTTTTGTTGAAAATGCAGGGTCAGACAGTCCCTGGAACAAATAGGGGATCAAGGGCCTTTACACGAGAGAACAATGGTGTAATCACTCTGCCGACCCTGGCATTCGAACCACCTTTCGATCACTGAATCACAGACCGCCCCAAAGAGAGTGCCACAAGACCGCCCCAAAGAGAGTGCCACAATGAACTTCCTGCATGTACCTGCCCTGTGACTGAACATACCAATTAATGGCCTTTGCAGTGATCACCCTGAGCACAACATAAACACATCACACACCAATCATCCCACTTAAAATTGTTGAGAGTAATCAGTGAAATGGCGCCCCCCATTGGGAGAGTTAGACCCGACGAGTCACCTGCCAAACTCCGGCCCTTTGACCATTCTCCCTCGATCTATCCAGCACTAGACAGAACAGGCCGTTAGCAGCAATGCTCGATTGTTTGATTGTGCCTTGCCAACCCCCTCCCCCCCGATCCTGATGAATACTGCTGACCCAAGGGGTCCGTTTTGTCTGGGCTGGGGCAGCGACACTCCAGGGTTCGGCAAAAGGCGGGCGAGCCGGGCCATGCTGGCGGAAGCAGAATGGCTGTGAAAGGGGAGGGTCATAATGAAGATAACTGCTCCAAAGGGTCTCGGTGTGGAGTGGCCCATTATGGGGTCGGCGGCGGGGGCCGGGGCGCGCCGGGGACATTGTTCGGCCCGCGGCCCTGGGGAGCGCTGAAAGAATTACTGCAGCCGGGGCCACAGGCCCTCATTATCGCCAGACGGGAATTAAGAATTTCCTGTTTCACTCCATTAAAAGAGAGCCATTAAAAACAAGGAGTAGGGGGCATTCCGTTCCTCCTTGGCCCTCCGTCCCCCCCACCCGGACCCCGAGCCCAGGCCTGACCCCGTGCGACAGGGCTGGTATGTATATGTGACCCAGGGACGGGACTTGGAGCCAATAGCCAGCACCTTGGCCCGACTGGAAGCCGACAGAGCTCATTTTTTGCGCCGTGTGTCATTTCCTGTCTCGTTAGTGCAAATGCGGGGGCCCCCATTTTGTTTATTTTTAAGGTTTCCCTTTTCTTCATCCCCCCCCCCCCAACTG